TGGGAACAGCATCAAAACAACCACTTTTGATGATGTTCCCACCGTGGTAATCTTCCCCGAAAGGTCAGTTGGTTCTCACAGGACTTGTCTGGAAGACGTGGAGGCGGGCTAGTTTGTATTAAGTTATGTAGCTCAAAAGTGAACTCAACGATTAGAATGACTACACATCAACTTCTGAGCCAACTCTTCAAATCACTCCACTTATGTTATTATGGCTATGTATTGAGCTTACAGCAGCGCTTGATCCTGAGAATGAGCTAGCATTTTCAGAATTTCAGTGACGAGAGGCTCTGGTTTCAAATGAATGCGTAACAAGCGAGCCAAAGCACCTAAAAACAATAATTCATCAACAAACGGTGACACCAGGTGATTGGCAAAACGACATTTGCAAGGTTCTCACCCCCAGCCACAAGTCGTACAGGTCGCGACGTTGGATCTTGTAAAGCTTTCAGGAATGTGGACTGCAGTTGAGGGAGGAAAGGACGAAGTAGTGTGTCGACCTTCAAAGAGAAAGAGTTTGCAAGATCAATCATTTGAAGAAATTTTTTCAAACCACTACGATGTGTATTGAAACTTACCTTGTCGAGAAGTTTGCTGAGCGTCTCGAGAACTGCCAATTTCACATTAGCCGGATAACGGTCTCCGAGAACCCGAACTAATGGCCCAGTTATATTAACCACATGAGCCTTCAGAGCCGACACATCAGATACAGACACCATCTGACCGAGAGCTTCTCCAGCCAATGCCTTCAGTTCAACTCCGCCTGCAAAAGGCAGTAGCATTTCAGAGAAGGGCAACAGTATAAGATATGCATTTAGGAGCTGTGATCCATCAATGATCACTGCTGTGCAATGGATCAGTACGACACACACAACACTCTCCTTTCCTCAATCTCAAGAGAGGTGGAAGGAAGAGTTTCAACGGAATAGGTAGAGCGAGTCTTCGGCCACCATTAAAGATTAATTCTCACACTAAAGACAGATGAAAGTCGAAACGCCAAGTTTCCGCTTTCTTTCTGTCTTTTTTTTAGTAGTACATTCAAAATGGCGTAATCAGAAGTCCAATCAAAGTTGAATTAACGAGTCTATAGCACTTCGATGCAGCTAGTTCGGTATTTTCATTTTTTTTTTTTTTGCTCTAAAGGACTATTTGCTCAAGACTTTGGTCGATGACTCAAGCAACAATCTCGTATCTTTACGCCCACTACCATTCAGCAAGCGTTTAGCAAAAGATTTGAAACAACACCATCGAAAAAGAACACAGAAGCAAAGATGTATTAATTGTGATACCGACCTTGTAGTATTGCTTCTCTGAGCATTGGTAGAAGCGGTTGCAATGCTTTTGGATGGGCAAAACCAGGTATCGGTTTGCCCTTAGATTGAGCAACAATGAAGTTCAAGGCTTTCTTCACAACGGGGATAGCTTCCTTTAAAAAAAATGTTCAGATTTCAAACGAATTCAACACTGAAAAGTAGAATAACGTGAAGGTAAAAGGAAACGCAGCGGAAGCAATGGTGATCATGTTTACTCAGAAAGCACAACACAGGCGAAATCCTTCGACAGAAATCAGTCGAAATCTAAACAGTCACTGAAAAAATACTTGGCTGAGAGCTACACTGGTTAGGCTCATTTTT